CCAAATATTGTTGAGAAAACAAGTATGGGGTTTAAAAATTTTCCTAAAAAAAAGAAATTAAAAAAATTGGGCTTACTGTTGCTTCGGAATTTTCTACTTTTGGGCGCCCCAAAATAACATCTTAAATTTAAAGCAGAGGTCACTGGTGTGTTTTAGAAATTTTCCCTGTTTTTTGCAGGGGCAAAGTTTAATATATTTCCTTATTTCATGGGCCCTCACTCGATGGGTTTAAATTTTTCGGGAAAAGGTTTTTCTTTTGGTTTTTTAAAAAAAATTGTTGAAGGAAAATTTTTTTGTAATAGCGATGACAAAAAAAATTTTAATGCCCGCGTCATATTTTTTTTTGTCTGGGGGAAATTTTTGGCTGGAAAAACCTCCCCTAGTTACCCTTTTTAAAGCTGGGTTTATTGGGGGAAAAATTTTATAATTTAAAAAAAAATTTTAAATTTATTTCAATCAAAATTTCAAAAGAAAATTCCAGGAAAAGGGTGTGGGGGAAATTTCGACTACAAATATTTTAAAAAAAAAACTTTTGGGCGAAAAAAAAAAGTTTCAAAAATTATAAAAAAATACTTCGAGTTATATAAAATCCCACCCTGTTAATGATTTGTTCTGGCATAATTTCAAGTTGGTTTATCATTAAACAGTTTTTGTTAAAACATATCCGGGTGGGTTGGTGTTTCTTTACAGCGTTGTAAAAAAAAATTGAACCTAAAATTTTGATTTTAAAAAAACCCCGGGCCCCTTTTAAAATTTAAAATTTTAACCCTTAACCCAAAAACTCCCTTTATCAAATTTTAAAATTTTCCCACGAGGAGGTAAATTTTTAAAATTTTAGAAAAGGGACATTTTAAAACCGTGAATTTTTAAGGAAAAAGGGAATGGTTTTGGGGTTAAAATTTTTTTCCCATAAGGGGGTCGCAAAAAATGAGGGAAAGATTATCAAAAGAAGGATGATTTTAAAAATAAAATTTTTATAATCCCCCTTACTTTTTTTGGGAAAATTTTTAATGCTTAATTTTGTTTCCCCATTGACCCCGCTTTTTTTTTAAATCGTAATTTTTTTGGAAAAAAATTTAGGGGCTTTTACATATCCTTTTTTCTTATTGGAAGGGTCAAATAATTTAAAAATTTTTCCCGTTTTACCTGGTATTTTGAAAAGGTGTTCTATTGTTTTTGTTTGGGGGGTCTATGAGGGGTTGTTGGGGCTCGGATTTTTAGCGCAATTTTTTGAAGGGGGAAAAAGGGGGGTTTTTATTAAATTTCCTAGGTATTTTGTATTTGTTTGGAGGTATTTGGGGGGGGGGGAAAAAGAGGGGTTTTTTGAGCTGGATTTTAACCCCAATTATTGATTTTAACGGGTGAAATATATTACGTTGCCTAGGTTTTTTGTTAAATTTTTTTGGAGGGTTTTTAAAGGGGGTGGGGGGAAAAAAGGGGTTGTTGAGCTCGGATTTTTTTTAGCGCAAAAATTTATTGATTTTAAAAAGGGGTTGTTTTATTAGTTTTAGGTAAATTTTTTTATTTGTTTTTGGGGGTCTGGAGGGGTGGGGGGGGGGAAAAGGGGTTTTTTGAGCTTTGGATTTTACTTTCCCCCACTACTAAAGTTTTTGACAGCCCCCGCCAAAAATTTTTTTAAGTTAAGCCCCATTGAAACAAAGTAAGAAACCCGCAATTGTCTGTTGTACTTGGTTTTGGTTCTTTAATGTTTTTTTTTTTTTTTTATTTTTAATTTTCTGTTTACCCTTTGGGAAAAACAAATTTTTTTTTTTTTTGGGTTGTATCACCTCAAAAGTTGGTTTGAAGAACCTTTGGGACCCTGAAAAACCCTTTAAATAAATTCATCATTTTTTAAAAGGGAAAAATTTTTGGGGCAGGCAATTTTCTTTTTATAAATTGGTATTTTTAAGGGCATGAAAAAACGAATTTTTTTGGGTTTACGTTTCCATCTGTATATCTCTTTTTACCCCGAAAAGACTCTCTTTCATCCCTAGTAAGTGTCGATTAAAATATCCCGGGACGGGAGTTAAAAATGCCCAAAAATTGGGGCGTTCGTTTGGGGTTTTGAAGCCCATAAAATTTTGCAATTGAAGACTCCCCCGAGGGGCTTTCACCAATCATTTCCATATCTTTTTCCCGGAAAAAGGGGTTTAGAAAAAACATGAGGTTGGAAACAAAAGGGGGATATTTTTAAAGATTTGATGGTTTTTCCCCAAACACCAGAGGGGTGGGTTTTTTAATGAATGCCTCTTAAATTTAGCGGGGTTTCCCCTGGGGGGGAAAAAATATAAAAAACAGGTTTTTTTTTTTTCCCTACAGCGACCCTAGGATTTTGTTAAAACAGAACGGAAAAAGGGGCCCCCCCCCTTTAACAGATATTCCCCCTTTTTTACCCCAAATTTTAACCCCGAAGACAATATGCTGCATGGGAAATAAGGATCTTAACTAGAAAGTTTTGACCCCAGATCAGGATCGCGAGAATGTTCTAGATCGTCTCCAGGATTTAATCCTGAGGTTGGTAAAACTTCTAAAAATGTGGGAAAAAATATGTGTTAGGGTCTTAGGGTCGCTGCCGAAAAAAGGCTGGGATCGACTGAGATACAGAAGGAGACACAATCATCATACATATTACTGATATATTTTAAACACTAACAGAGAGCCGTTCTCTGACCTTTTATGTTAAGAAGATTTTGTTGTATAATTTGACATGTATGAATTAAGCGCAGTTCAAAAAAAAAGCACTGGTACGCATGGGTACGGTTTATGGCGAGTGAAAACTTATTTCACTGTACCACTTATACTCTTTTGCCAATGTTTTCCAATTTTTCTTGGGAGATGGTTAATGTTTACAAGGAGGATAGATGTAGTTGGTATGGTACAACAGTATGATTAAATAGTTTTAAAAATAAAATAAAGGATTTAATTAAGCTTTCATTTTAGAGTGTCATCGAATTATACTTTATATTATCATTTAATTATATTGTCATCGAATTAAGTCTGATGAAGCACAAAAGCGAAACGGGTCACACATTATAGGTGTTGGTGTTGTTTATTTTATAATTTATCGAATTATACTGGTATAGATGGTGCGAAGTGGGTGTGAATTTCGATGTAGTGTGATCTAAATGCATTCCATGGCCCACAACATAATTCGTAATGTCTACTGGATACCTAAACGTATCCCAGTGGAACCCCAAGGTCCACCTAATAACTGTCAATGTCGGTGACATAACAATATTAATTTCATTTTATCTCAAAGGTCCACAACCTATCGATCAACGTCTGCGGGTTAACAAAACTTGGCTCAATGGACCCGGAAGGGTCAAAACATAACTGCCAATCTCTGCGAGAAAATAAAAAGTATATTAATGGATGTCCAAGGTCAACAACATGACTGTCTATATCTGCAGAATAAGAAAACTGGTCTCCATAGATTTCCAGCGTCCATAACCTAATTGTAAATGTTTGTGGGAATAAATGTATTTGGGATTACCAAACGTTTCCCATTTGATCCCAACGTCAAAACATAATTATCAGTGTCTGCGGAATGACAAATCTACCCTCAATAGATCCCTAAGGTCCGTGACATAACAGTCAATGTTTTCAGGATAACAAAACTTGTCTAAATTGATCTCCAACGTCCACAACATAACTGATTTCAATGGATCTCTTAAGTCAACAGCATAACTGTAGATATCTGGGTGATAACAAAAGTTACAGATCATGTGCAACGTACGCTCTTGTCATAAATCGCTCGTGAAAATTCGTAACATAATTATATTTATATAAAAAAAAAAAAACGACGTCCATTAAAAAACTTTCTTTCATCACACCCTGCAGGTCAGATCACTTAAAGTTTCAATAACGGAGGGAATCCCTAATACCACGCATTGTGAAAAGGTACAAAAGCAACAACGGAAGATAAAATATACAGCAACGGAAGATAACACTATTCATTTAACGACGGAAATTCGAGCCGCGGCCGTATTCTGTATCTTCCGTCGCTGTCATTTTTACACTAAATGATACCACAAGTTCTTCACTCCTCATTTGCAAGTTGGTGGAAATCTGCGAAATGTTTCTTTCGAGTGCAAGTTTAAAAAAAAATAAATAAATAAATACGTACTTATGTATCTACAAGTATCTTCGCTTTGGTTTGACAAGTATCAAGGAAGTAGCAGCCTAGAAAATTCCGGTGACCCGAGCTTAGTATAACGCTGTCTAACCGCCTTAAAGAGTTACTATCTGACTCCTTACTCCTCAAAGGTCTGACTCGCAAAGATGTGTGATAGCTCGGTGAAAATTAAGAGTCCGCCACGCTAAAAAAAAAAACATACATTACTTACTGTACGCGAGAATGCCATTAAGAAATCATGGGCTATGTGTGAAACTGCAATATCTGGAATTAGAATCGGTGTCTCTTCGTATATGTTTATCTAAAGAGAGATGTATTATAGAGGTTTTAAACGCACTATCCTCACTATAACCATGTTATCTTCATAAATTTTACGCAATTTAATCAAACCTGCGAAAGGTACACGTGCATGATACTGCGGCTCTCACAGTCCAGGACTTACTCTCGCTGAAAATTTAATCTATTTTGGTATAATAGGCATTTTCACGGCTGGCAAACGCAAACGGTCGCAAAATCGAATAAGCTATTTCTTGGAATTATTGCACTTGATTACCATTATATCAACGAAGAATAAACGAAAAAAACACAAATGTATCAACTCTTGATTTCTACAGTGGCCTTCGAAAATGTGTGTGTGTGTGTGTATGTATATATATATATATATATATATATATATATATATATATATATATATATATATATATATATATATATATATATATATGGATATCTGTAAGATTCCTATGCCTGAGAGAGAGAGAGAGAGAGAGAGAGAGAGAGAGAGAGAGGTGGCACAGAATTATGCCTTAAAGTTGATAAAACTTTAAAACTGACAATGAGTTTCTTCAAAACATTGGGAGACCGCTCTGGTGGCCTAGTGGTTAGAGCGTCCGCTTCGGATGCGGAAGGTCGTGAGTTCGATTGCTGACCGAGTCATACCAAAAACTTTAAAATGTTACTAACTGCTGCCTCACTTAGCGCTCAGCATTAAGAGGCTAGTGTTAGGACTGGTCGGCCTTGTGTCAAGATAATGTGACTGATCACCAGTTACAGATCACGCTATCAGAGAGCAGGAGACGTCATGCTACGTGTCTGCGGCATGATGCCCCAGCGGCCAGTGCTAAACATCACAATAAACTGCCACGCTGCAGACATCTTAGCGATCTGACTGAACAATTTTGAAAGCTACGTTAAAATTCCACGTCACATCACATTACCTCACATTACATCACATTACCTCACATTATATCACATTACATAACATCCCCTCAAAACATGGGGACCGAAGGTATCCAGATGTATTTATCATATTTCAGTAAAGTTCACAGTTTTGTCTTATGTGCTCCTAGTGTTATTGTAAAACTGTTACCTCACATTACATCACATTACATAACATCCCCTCAAAACATGGGGACCGAATGTATCCAGATGTATTTATCATATTTCAGTAAAGTTCACAGTTTTGTCTTATGTGCTCCTAGTGTTATTGTAAAACTGGAAAGCCTTTGCTGTGGTTTGAATAATTCATTTGTCTAAAGTCACAACTCCAGATGGAACAATGTTAAAGCGTGATATTTGTCCCAGTTATTCCACGGCAGGTTTGGCAGAATTCAATCATGCACACTTTGTTTCGTGGGTCCGGTATGCTAACCACTGAGCCCTAAGTAGTCAAATTGTAAGTTATATACAGTAGTTTCAAGTAAAATTCTTTAATTACTTGAATGATTTTTAAAAATTCAAGATCAGTTTACCAAACGTTTCGAAACAGTCCTCCAAATTAATTAATGTATTGAATTAAAGTTGCAAAATTAGCATGAATGTTAGTGACATTCCATCCTATCGGTCCCCCCTCCCCGAATTAACAACTAGCTTTCCCAGCTTTTCTCTTACCAACATTGTCGTCAGTAACTAAACCTCAGAGGTTTACAATTGTCGTTTAATCATTTATAACACTTCCAATGAGGAGCTTTATTGTCAAAACGAAATTCAAATTAGTGGTATCATTGTGTGTCTTTGCAAATAATATATTTTAAAAAAAATAACTAGTTAAGCCCATAAGCTGGTATTCTGAAAAACGAGCACATCGTCAGCAAATATTTTGCTTGAACGAGCTAGTAAATAAATTCTAATGCGAGGGAAGCTCTCAATGGGATCTGCACATGTTTTTAAATTCTTTCCCCGACGCGCGCGACAGCAGGGGTGCCATGTCCCTGGGTTAATAATTGTGTATGAAGTCGATGCAGCCGCGCCTGTCAGTCAGTTTCGTCCTAGATAAACCCAAACCCACCTCGCGCCAGAAGCCGACAATGACGAGCAACAGAGTATATGGCCCCCACCAGGGGTAATAGGTTTCACGTCTAGCGAACGTCTATGCAATATTAGATTAAAAAAGAAAAATAGTAAAAAAAAAAAAAAAAAGGACAGATTATTTCTTACTTAAAATTGTTGCTGTTAGTCTCTATGTCGAATTAATCAACATCATTTTAAAGTAGTTTACAGAAGCGCTCACACTGAATGTTTTAATCCTTTGAATGAAAATTGTGATAATAAAAATCATTCAACCTGCTGCACACGCTGGTACACACATATACAAATTGCTAGTGCAAGTAGGATCAGGGTCGTAGAGAGCAAAACGAGCCCTGCGTTAAGAGAGACCCTGGCCTCTTCTAGTTTTTGTTCAAACAAAATTTTTCTTTTATAAAATTAAAAAGTGGTACGTCCCGGGCTTCCTTACTGGCCCGGGCCCCAGGTATATATTTCCAGTTGTCCCACCCCCTTTTGTCGGCCTTGAGTAGGATCAAGTGAGATCGTCTTCACGTATACTGTGACAGGCGTTGAAAATGTATTTGGCAAAAATAGGGTAGATTATTAAAATGATTATTTTCATTGTAACACACACGTGTGTCACAAAAATGTATTTCTCCAAAATAACTTGAAAACATCTTTTAAGAAAACATTGACGGTGACTGACAGTACACATCCGATAAATGCAACTGTCGCCACGAATAAACAAAAGCAAAAAATATAAACAGCAGATTTAAATCGATGTTTGATCAATTCTGCCCAAAAACTCTTGAAATTTAAAACACCATTTAGCCCATTAATTCTCTCTCTCTCTCTCTCTCTCTCTCTCTCTCTCTCTCTCTCTCTCTCTCTCTCTCTCTCTCTCTCTCTCTCTCTCTCTCTCTCTCTCGTTTTCCAGTGGAGCCACATCAGAGGACCTTTTCACAAACGCTGTTTATTGTCGCCCTTGCACATTTTACTGTCGTTTGAAATCAGCTTGCTACTGGAGTCGGGCTGCGCGGCATATAATAAGTAAGTTAAGTGCTGCCTGTCGGTATTGCAGAAATCCCGCTGCTTTGCCAGATGCAACATAAACACTTGGCGCGAACATTTTCGAGAGAACACTAAAGAGACGTGCCCTAGTTTGGTTCTAGGTGCAGGGCGAGAATTTTTTTAATCCCTCGCCTTCTGTCTTGGTTTTCGTTGTTTTAACGTCATTTTTCCAGTACATGATTAGTTATTTCTGGCGGTCATTATACCTTGTGGAGGAAGAACCACATACAGACGGGAAGGTTTTGGCAACTTAGCTCCCACACCCACACTGACCGAGCCTGAGATTCAAACCCACGCCAACAGTGAGAGGTCAGTGATCTGGGAAGTCGAGCGTCTTTGACCATTCTGCCATCCGGGGTCCCATCTGCTTTTGTTAAATAATAATAATAATAATAATAATAATAATAATAATAATAATAATAATAATAATAATATCTCAAGAGTTCTAAATGTAGAATCAAAATATGGGTAATAGTGACATACATTGTAAATTTGTTTTATTGTTCTTTAATACACACGGCATATCGTTATTTTTAACACAAGCACCAGCGCCAACGATGTTAGTTACAAAAAGAATACACTGCTAATGCATGCGACATGACGATTATAAGCATTGTCACATGTGCTTTTTAAAGTCGCTATCAATATTGTTGTTGTTGTTATTAGTAGTAGTAGTAGTAGTAGTAGTAGTAGTAGTAGTAGTAGTAGTAGTAGTAGTAGTAGTAAATGTTTGTAGATACAGATATATGCCTTTCATAGTGCATACAGCCTTTTGGCCTTGTCAGCAGATGATCTGGGACATCTGTTTAGGAGAGAACTCGATAAATTGTTATTAAAAACAAAATCTTACTGAATCTAAAATGAGACGTACGTAGCTTTCTCGCTTGAGGTGAGCTCTTGATGATTGTTTGACAGATCAAAAGATAGGTTTGACAGATCAAAGGTATGTTTGACAGATTAAAAGGTAGGTTTAACGGACCAAATGTATGCATGACAAATCAAAAGGTAGGTTTAGCGTGACCATGCTTCCACAAGTTATATATTAAACTATTTTAACGTTAAACTTAATGTACTACCTTCACGTAGAGTGTAAACCATTTTTTTTAGATCGAGTAAGTTATTTTAGTAACATTTTATAAACAATTTTAACTGCTGTGCAAAAAAAACATTTGCACATTAAAATTCAGTCAAATTGCTCATTTTAATTACACCCTTTATAGTGTAGATATCTTAGTAATGAATCCCTAAAAGTGGTATTGAAAACAAATATTTTGTATGAAATCATTGGGCACTTTATCAAATTTGACCATCACAACAAATCAAACATTACAATGTTGGCCCTTACGTTTCATCTGACCCGGAAAAGCAGAATCTCAATTCTACCCAGAAAATGTGCCCATTATTTTTAATTATTGCTGATAAAGTAATCCCCAGCTAATGTGAAGTTCCTTTTAACCAAAATGCAAGGAACATTCAGTTTCGAAAGGAATTAATAGGCATTCGACTAATGCTTTTGAAGACTCCGCCATTATTAACGGACCACTGAGCGTATGAATATGGATGACGGCATGCCGCGTTTTGTGATGAGTACCCTTTTGCCTTGGTGGGGGTCGTTAAAGGGAAGCGTATTTAGAATAAAAATACTTGCTGTATGTTTTAGGTAATGGTATTAGAGGAAAGAAAATACACGACTAAACAAGACATATCTTAGAATTTAAATAATATCAACATATTTTTTGTTCTTGCTGTTGATTGTTAGGCTTTGGGGTGGGGGTAGTAATTGGGATAATCCAGTCGTCTATGTGATAGTGTATGGCTCGTCAAAATCGTCTCAGGTACATTTTTATGTTTATACCATGCTTTAATTCTTGGAAGCATTATTTGAGGCTTCATGCATCATACTAATGGTTATATTACATATATTTATAAACATAAGTTACGAGGGATTGAAGTCCGTCACAGTTCTCCTCGTCTACCGTACAATACATTGGAAGGCAGCAGTGGTCTTAATAATACCACATACCGTAAGAAATCGCTCATAAGCCAGACCAAACTGCAAAGAACAAAGATCCTTATCTGCCGTAGCATAATGCGCATTCAGATCAGGATCTGCGTTGTTTGTTCTATTAATTAGTCCTAACAAACTGCACAGACCTATGTCTGCCTGCGCATAATGTGCTAACAGATCTGGGTCTGTGCAATTGGCAGTTGGAATTGTCTAATAAACGAGGAGAGATTGTTATTTCCTTAAGAAGAAAAAAAAAAAAAACGTCCATGCATGATAAAACGTCGCTCTTTATGTAAAGGTTGAACGTATCTTACACCTATATAGAAGAGTGGTGGATTTATTTCATTTGAAATACAGGTCTTTATTATATAAAACGATAACGACGATTTTGGTTCGATTTGGTATTTTACGGCCGGGCAACTCAAGTAGGTTATTTAGTTTCGTGCCCAAGGATTTGGAGTGAAGTGCCACGTCACGTCACCATAGTGGGCGTGGTTTGAAACCCACACCCTTAGGGCTGCGAGTCCCATACGCTAACCAATGAGCCACCACGGCTCCTCGATGGCCACGTATGAGCATTAACGCATTGTTAC